AAACTGAATTAATTCTCGCAAATTAATTAATATTCTTAGTAAAATATTACACCTAGTAAATAAATTAAAAGACGAACATCATCATTATCATCATCACCTGCTTCTCCCTTATCCCATTTATTAGTGGTCGGCGTAATATGTTTTTCTCTTCCATTCATCCCTGTTCGCAGTCATCTCGTTATTTACTTCCTTTCTTACCATATCATCTTTCACACAGTCCTTCCATCTCTTTTTCGGATTTCCTCTGCCCTTACAACCACATTCATATGTAACACCTTCCTTAAGACATGATCTTCATTCCTACATATTAAAAGACGATCAATCGTGGAAAATTACTTTCACCACAATATCCACAGTTCACAACGACTGACTATCCACTCTTGGTTAACAATCTTGAAGATATCTATATTTAATTTTTAATACTTTTAATATATATATATTTAAATAGGTGAAGCTCCAGGGTCATTGTCCTACCTCGTGTTTGATTTATAGCGCCCTTCAAATGTCGCTCGGGCGGACGAATAGGGCGAGAGATGGTGTTTAAAATTTACTTTTACTCCATAAATATACTTATTTTTTTACTTATTAGAAAAGTAATATCATAGAGATCGTAAATGTTTCATAAATCAACTGACTTGTAGCCGAATAATTGAATATAGAGCTACCTTCGAGTAATGAAGAATGTAACTCTCGTTTATCAACAAGAAAATGATATATTTTTCTAGTATTCATTATGATAATATAGAATTTCTATTTTTATGAACATGTATTTTATGTCACTAGCGATCCGTCCTCACTTCGCACGGATGAATTACTGTCAAGTCCTGGATAGCCAATAAAACTAGTGGACTGTGTTAATAGATATATAAAAACAGTTATGAAATACAGATAGAAGCACATTAAACTTTGAATGGTGGGATGATTTAGTAAGCCGGTAAGTGGCAGTGCCGGTCAGACAACATTTGCCGGTGGTCGCCACCGCCCCGCAGCTGGGTGAATAGACAATTACAAACCTTTGAATTTCTCGTATTGTTCTATACTATAATATTCATGTATCATACATATAAACCTTCCTCTTGAATCATTCTATATATTGCTGAAAACTGCATTAAAATCCGTTGCGTAGTTTAAATAATAATAATAATAATGTCTCAGGACAATTGACACAGCGCCATCTAGTCCCAAGCTAAGCAGAGCTTGTGTTATGGGTACTAGACAACTGATATAAAAATATGGATACATTTTTTTTTTGTAAATATATACATATTATACAAGAAACTTTTTAACTACCTACTGAGTCGCCAGAATGGGCTATAACTGTTTGGTGTTGAATTAAGAGTATTATATTCATATATGTATATATATATTTATATATATGTACATTATATATCACATTTATACTTATATCGTGTATATATTATTTTATTTTATGTAATTTTTGTATCCATATTATACATAGTATTTTTATTTATTTATGTATATTTTAGTTGTATATTATATTTTTAATTCGTAATGTAATGTAATGTAAATTGGACTCCATTTTCCGCAACCAGCCTCTCATCCGGGCCGTTGTACGTGTAGAGCCGAGACTACCAGAGTAGCCAGCCAAGCCCCTCCCAAAAGCCCAGTCTCCTGGTGTCTTCACAGGCTCACGGAGCGACCTCACCGTTCCGAGGATTTGTGTTCGTTGTGTGGCCACTGCAAGCACTCCAGGATTACGTGAGCAGCCGTTTCTTCGGCTCCAAAGCAGCCCCGACAAAGAGGACTGTCTGTAGCTCTTTTTAATACGTATATTAAGAATCTCTTTCAACCGTATGAATTATAAAAATACCTATCGTTCAATTCATAAGAAGAAACAAGTTGGAAAAGCATAATCTTCAAATATAGACTATACTAACTGTACCCGCGGTTTTACACGCGTGAAATTTACAGCCTATGTGTTATTCTGATGTATAAGCTATATTATTGTAAGTTTTCATTAAAATCCGTTCCGATTTTGCGTAAAATAGTAACAAATCCACACTTACAAACCTATACGTTTATAATATTAGAAAGATGGTCTTACTTGAACTATTACTTCATTCAAAAACTAAACACAGTTTGCGGATATATTTTTTTCTTATTTACGAGTGGTCGACGTAGTAAATGCCAATATAACAATTAAATAATAATAATAATTTATTTCCTCGAAACAACTTCGAATTCAAATTCAAATTCAAATTTTTTACATTATAATTTTTTCCCTACCGTCCAGTTCGGTATGTTGTTAGTTAAATCCAATTGAGAAGAACTGGCAAGATACTCAATTGAATTACTTGTTTTTTAGAGCCAGTTTGTTTACAACAGTAGAAATGAAACTTAAAGTACAGATGACAATTAAAGCATAGTATCATTTGCCATAATAATAATATGTAATAATATCTTATCTGTGGTAAAAGGATGCAAAATATTATTGGTAACTGAATACAACAATATTTAGTCAATGTGGTATGAGTACGTTATGAACCACCAGCTCTTGTACTATAGCAATAACACTCAAGCAATTCTGAGTGAAACGTAATATCCGTAGACAGACCACTCGTAAATGAGAAAAAATCGTCACTACCGATGCTTGTTTGTGTAAATTACAATTACAAACAATAACGGATGTGAATAAATTGTATTTTTTTAATAATATTGTAACTAACAATATTATACGGAATGGTCTGCTCTAATCACTACGACTGATTTCCTCTTATTAATTGTTTAACCAGTTGGTTATATATTCAATATTTTTTCTATTTGAGTATTTAATTGAATTAGTGCTAATTGGTGGTTTTTGGTTATAAACTTAAAAATGTAAAGTTATAAACAAATTATTTAAAAGAGCAACACGCAAGTTTTATGCTCATTCTTCTTGTGATGAGCCAGCTTTCCGAATGAGCGGCGATGATGGCTTTGCACGACAAAGCCATCATCGTCGCGGTTGCCAGTGGCAGCACACGTAGGGTCAATGTTCAGTGCCGTTTTTGGCACACGCCGCTGTACTGAAGCAATCGATGTCAAGCGACGATGATGGCTTTGTCGTGGTACAAAAGAAGAGGCGCACAAACAAGGTCAATAGGAATCATTGTGGCACTGCACTCACTGGGCCCAACTTTCTGCTGCGTGCTGCTACACCGACCACGACAATGTACCTGTCCCGTCTACATTACGCCACTAAGGAGCAGGACATTGTCGATTATATTCGTACCAAGAGTAACCTGACATTGAGGGTAACGCAGCTGAAGTCGAGTCACAACGCGAGTTTCAAAGCGTTTGTGGCCCTGGTCCCCACCGACTTGCTGCCCACCTTCATGAAAGAGGACTACTGGCCGAAAGGTGTGGTGTATCGGCGCTACCGTGGCAGATTGCCGTCTTCAGTGCCGTGATCACACAGACAATATTATTGTATTAGTTTTTAAATATTATATTATATGTATGTTAGTCTATAAGGTATTTATAATATGGGCCTAGTTGCCTGAAATAAATGAATAAATAAATAAATAAAATAAAATTGCAAAGTAAACGCAACTTTACATATCGATAAAAATTATTTGTATCGAATGTCGATTAGGTAACCTCGTTGCAATGTACGTAATCGCTATTTTGCCGATATGACAGCTTGGCAATGAAACGGTTTTTACAATAAGAGAAACAATTCAGAAGGCAGTTCATATTGTTTCAGTTAGTTTCTTAAATGCTATTCCGCTATATATAATGAAACCATAGATAAGGTAACGTTACATACTATTTTCTACATATATTATTACATGAGATCTTGTCGGTTCACATAAGCTAATATTTTAGCCTGCATGCGACTCTATCTCTTACTGATAGGAAATAAACTCGAAATTAGCATAATATAATCATAATACAGGGTATGTTATACTGTTACCCGGGTAAATTCGGTCAAGGACGGCTGCAACTGTAAAGATTTAATGAGCGGCTGTTTTACTCGTATTTGGATACGAGTGTGTGTATTACCACAGATAATATAATATTACGGATACTGTTATTGAGTTATTTATGATACACCCAGCTGACCAGTATTTTAATTCTTTGGAAATAAAATGATCTTTTTTTTAACTAGATTGTAATAAATTAATTTGAAATGTGCAATGACAATATTTGTGTTATTTATCATTACGTAATTACGTATATATTCACTTACTTCATTTACCTGTAAATATTTTTGTCTGAAATGACAAATAAGCTAAAATTAGCTAAAGGTAAACATTGTAAAAAACTCTTTTTTTTTTTAATAAATAATAACGAAATTTAATTGGGTATTTTGCCAGTTTCACTTAATTGAATCTGTATACTGAACTGTCCTGTAGGGAAAAAATAATATAAAAATTTGACATTAATGACGTCTAAAATGTCGTACCAGATTTTTAAATTTGAATTTGCTAATGGCTCATTTAATAGAAAATCCATGTTGTATGCCAACTTCAATGAAATATTAGGTATACACAGTATAATTATATAGTATATTACCCGCTAGTTATATATTTTTTTAGAGGTTTAGTTAAATAAATCATTTAAACTGATCACAGTTTTTAAATCAAGCTGCTTAACGGAAGAAATAGTATAATAGGCGATTCCCGTACTTTCTAATTCGTTGTCATGGGAAGAATTCAGCCAACTTTGTTAATAACATACTGTTTTAAGCAGACCTTCTTAAAGTCCTCCTAGTATACCTACTGTCATCGCAATTTTTATGGAAAGATAAATTCAAAAATATCCGTTATAACGTTGTCTGAGCCGAAACATCAAATAAATAAAAATAAAAATTATACTTCCCAAAGAACTGGTAGCTGTTTATACATAGGTTTCATGATAATTATTAAATTATTTTTTGGCGTCGTTTTTCCTATAAATGGGAAAAGCAGAAGGACTTAGTTTTAACAGATTGTCACTGTTACTTTTGACAATTTGATTGGTTGTCATATTTGACATTGTCAAAGGACAAACTTCACCTTTCCGGGACAAACGAAACGACCTCCATTCATCCTTCATTCATATAATTTAGATAAAAATACTAACTTCTAGTTTCATTTTCATCATCAACATATATTAATATAGCACAAAACCATACTAATATCCACTGCAGTGTAATTATATTATAAATTAACTTATAATTATCTAATTTTTAATACAAAATGGCATTAAAATCTTCACCGGTGGTGTTTGACTTAGTTACTCGTTTAACACGCCGTTGTTTCTCCACTTCTAAAGCTGTATCATCAAAACTTGTGACTGTACGTGATGCCTTGAATCAGGCCATCGACGAGGAGATGGAGCGTGATGAGAAGGTGTTCGTCATGGGTGAGGAAGTGGCACAATACGACGGTGCTTACAAAGTTACTAGGTTCGTATTACACATCTTTTTAACCTACATCCCGCCTCTATACCATCTTTTTAAAAAGTTTAAGTCAAATAATATTTTGTTACCAATATTTTTTATGTTATAAGCATGAAATATTTATTTTTAAATATAATTTTTAATGTGAAAATACATTACATAACCAAAAAAGTTTACAAATGTTATACAGAGATTTCTTATCTTTATTTTGGGTATTATTAAAGGATTAAATAAGGACATAACTAAAACATTAGTAGTTCATGGAATTCCATATCTTAACTGGATGAATATGCTTAAACCTATCATCATAATTAATTGATTGAAAATATTAACAAATTCTACCATAAATGTATGATGAGATAATCAGCCATACCCATCGGTGAGATCAAATTGTGGTTATGTTTTCTAAAAAACTAATTCTGATATTTAATACACTGTACAAATGTGATGGGTAAAGAAATTGTTATTTTTTGTTTTATTAAATGTACATTATTATTAAGATTTTATGATATGTTTGTACATTTTCTATGTTATAGTTATCTGTCTTTTTCTTAGTCTCTATTTCCTATCTTTTGTCACATTCTTTCACTTTTTCATTGTCAGACTATGTTATATGATATGTATATAGTATATTTGATTTATATATATTTATAGATTGATATATATTATATTTGTGTATATATATGTTTGTGTTTACATGTATTTACTTTTAGTATATATATAATTTTTTGACCTACTGTTTATCTTATTGATTTTATTTGCACCGCCTACAATTTTTCTCTGCACAACCTGTGGTTGACTGGTAGAAAATGCCATAAGGCGTTAAGTCCGTCATATGTACTTTTACCTTGGAATTTTGTGCATTGAAGTTATATAAATAAAAAAAAAATATGTAAAGAACAAGAGAGGTTAATACCTTTTAAGTAACGGTATATATATCTCTATTGATATTCATATTAACACCCAGTTAACAAGATGAGTAATAAACATGAAAGTTTAATAAGCTATTGAGCTAAAGCTAATAAAGCTCTCTGTGCTGATATGTAAGTAGTGATCACTACTGTTTATTACAACTTGACTCACATATATTTTGTTTCCATACTTGTATTAAGTAGTTATTTATTTTTAAGGATTACCAACACAAGATACAGCAATAAAAAAATTGTTATGATTTTATACAATTCTAATGGTTCACATATATTTTGTTTCCATACTTGTATTAAGTATCTATTTATTTTTAAGGATTACCAACACAAGATACAGCAATAAAAAAATTGTTATGATTTTATACAATTCTAATGGTCTTAAACTAACTGTTCTCATAATTATAGGTAACCACAGCATGCTTTGAGTTATAAGATTATATCGCTACTATAACTACTATTACACATGTCAATAATATTAATTAAAGTTGTATGCTATAATAATAATACAGTAAAGCATACATATAACAATGTTGTGACATGACAAGGACCATCAACATTTAAGCTTAATAATAAACAATTATATATATTATATGTATACTCAATAAACATCTTGTTACACCTTAAAATTGATTAAAATACCTTAAAACACAGTTTTCTTTATTTTGTTTTTACTGTTACTACTATTTTTAATTACGTCCCAACTTTCAGTAACACTCAACTCTCTCTCTGCACTTCATCTCACTCCTATATAGCATCATTCGCTTTCTTTTATACCAGCCTTCCATCTGATTCACACCATATTGCATTATCCACACCTATCAGTACTTCATGCTAGATAGATTTATAAAATAAATCTATTGTTTTTTTATTTAATTAATTTATTACAATAATGCTGGATTTATTTTCATCCCAAAGCTTAGATTAGACTGCTTAAGTTTTTTCAATTTTTTTTATTATTAAAATCGTAGTATCTTTAATCATAGTTACCATTAAGTTTTCCCTGAATTGTAATAGGTAATTTATTTCAAAATTTACTCTAAAATATACTTAATATGTAAAGTTAAGTAAGAGTAAAGCAACATCCTGTTGTTAAAGGGAAAATAGTAATCCTAACTAAACATTACTCATTAAACAATTATTCAAAAGATGAATGTGTTATATTAATTATTATATATATATATATAGTCAAAGAAGTAGATATTGTTAACAGATGAGGTTTCAATATACATACATAATAAGTAATAAATAATATTACAATAAAATAGTACATAATAACTTCAATTTCCTTGTTGAAAAAATTCCCTTGTTGAAAAATCAAACAAATTTGTATTGTATAAAGAAAAGTTTAGCAGATAGAGCAATTAAATTAAATTTTTACAATTTATATTAATACGATAAAAAGTGCTGCCAGCTTCTTTTCATTCATTCATAATTTAAGAGCTGTGCTCTTGTCGGTGGAGCTTCCGCCACCTTCCACATTCTTCCATAAGTCCTTTTAGCTGTTGATATGACACGACTCCAACTTTTTCTTTAATATTGCTTGATATAGCTGTGTCTTGGTCTTCCCCTTCCTCTCTTTCCATCTATTTTTCCTTTAATAATGTTGTTAATTAGTTTGTCGTGTTCAGCTTCTTTTGCCCATCATATTTTTATTTTTATGGGTTATTACTGACCAGTTTCTCTAGCTACTTCAACTGGCAAGAAACTCAAAGGGTATGTGTTGTAACTGGTTAATAAGAAATGTTTTTTATATCTAAATTTGTATTTAAAATTTATAGTTCCTTTTATATTACACTCTTGTTTGTTACTTTCATTCTATTCTGTTATATGTCAGTAGTCTATCCTAATATAAAGTTTTCTCTGTATACTAAATCCTTTTCTTTTTCTTACCTGTACAAATATAATAAATTACAACAGCATGTTTTTGTTGATGGCCGGAATAGAATAGAATAGAAAATAATTTATTCAAAGAAACTTAATTTAAACATATTTGAATGTACAATGGTTAGTTCCTAGGACCATTATGTTACTTCTGACTGATAACAGTGCAACCTTAAAAAATCATATTATATGTTCTTGTACTAGATCCTTACTATGCTGGTATTGCATTACAGGGGCCTTTGGAAAAAATATGGCGACAAAAGAGTAATAGATACACCCATCACTGAGGCAGGATTCGCTGGTATCGCTGTGGGAGCAGCGTTCGCAGGCCTCAAGCCCATCTGTGAATTTATGACCTTCAATTTCTCTATGCAGGCGATAGACCATGTTAGTATTAACAAATTACTTGTATTACATTAGACAGTCTCAGTGGTTTAGTAGTTAAGCACGCCATTTTAGTTCTGATGGTCATGGGTTTGATTTCTGTGATGGTACAAACATTTGTATTCATTACTATGATTCTTTGTATCTGTCTGGGTGTTTTCTATGTATATTATGTATGTCCAAATAAATTTATGTTAGTATTTATATCAGTTGTCTAGTACCCATAATACAAACTCTTCTTACCGTGGGACTAGGTTGCATTGTGATATTAATATGTGAAACAGAAACTTTATACAAGGGTTATAAAGTTTCAGTTTCACGAAATTTGGGTAAAACGAGGAATTTGAAATTTTGCATACTTATAGTTTATATATAGAAGTGCATAATGCTAGTAGTTACTTAGTTTAAATTATGCTATAAAAATACATTACATTTTTTTATGGATGATAATGGAATAGTGCACCTGCCTGCGCTAACGGTTTACACTGACGGGGTACCAGTGGAGGATGATAAAATGAGCATAAGGTCAGGTCAGTTAGCCCATCCTGACAAATTCACCAAGAATTTATCATGATCGGTTCCAGGGTGATCCGCGTGGAAGTCAACCCAACATTGCTTACATTACAGGTACATTGCTAGCAATAAGGTCATCAATTCATTACATTATATCAATAAAAAAACACGTATTACGTACACAGACATATAGTATATACTCCTTTGATACTCTTGTTTATTGTTAGTCTGTGCTCAAATTGAAAATAGAATAATATTGGTTGTCTCTAATATTACTTGTCTATGATCTTACTGAATGTTAAATTAATTATGTCAAATTTCGTCCACTGTGCTCATTATTAATGCTTATGGTATTTTACAAATTTTATTGTATTGAATATTTCAGATAATAAACTCGGCTGCAAAGACATTCTACATGTCAGCAGGCACCGTACCGGTACCAATAGTGTTCCGAGGACCCAACGGTGCAGCCGCCGGTGTGGCCGCCCAGCACTCGCAGTGCTTCGGTGCCTGGTTCATGCACTGTCCTGGCTTGAAAGTAGTCATGCCGTACTCCGCAGAGGATGCTAAAGGTTTGTTTACTTTAGCTGCCTTTACCAGTAGCTAGTAGAACAGATGGCGCGTTATGACAGTAAAGTCAGATGCAGCCAACCGCCGATCCAGGAGGGGGGTCATGGGGGTCATGACCCCCCCCCTGAGTTGGTTCCAGGACTAAGGTGGACCACTAATTGAACATAATGATTTTATTTATATATTTTGACACCAAACAGATTTAAGTTTCTACATACCTTCAATATTTAATTAATTATGTTTAAATAGTGCTTCTCTGGATGGCTTCAAGAGAAGATGGCGATATGTACGTGTATATGTACAAGTTATTATATGTTAAGTTTTTCAAATGTACAATAAAGAATAAATATTTTTAAGTACAGTACTTACGTACATTAATAAAATACCTACTTTTTACTTGTATCTGTTGTTATTAAATTTAAATTATAAGTTCTTGACTTGACCACGACTATGTGAACCCCTCCTGGCGCCAAAGCTGGATCCGCCCTTGGATGGAGCGTGGGAAGGCCTCCGGCAAGGTGGACCTACGATCTGGTCAAGATTGCTGGAAGACATTGGATGCGAGCAGTGCATAACCGATCATCTTGGAAATCTTTGGGGGAGGCCATTGTTCAGCAGTGGACGTCTTCCGGGCTGAGATGATGATGATGAATCTGAAATCCTCGGCAGGTAATTCATTCCACAATCGGAGTGTATGCGAGAGGAAGCTCTTCTGAAACCGCACTGTCCGAGACCACTTAGGTTCCAGCATGTGGGGATGAATTCCCTGTCGATGGCGAGCGGTGCGTGACTTATAAATATTTTGTTTAATTTGCAGGTCTACTTAAAGCAGCCATCAGAGATCCAGACCCCGTGGTGGTGTTGGAGAATGAAATGCTGTACGGCGTGCCATTCCCGATGTCCGATGAGGCACTCTCAAAAGACTTCGTATTACCTATAGGTATGGCAAATGTATTCATATATCTTACTAATATTATAAACGGGAAATTTTGTGAGTATGGATGTTTGTTACTCTTTCACTCAATAACTACTGAACCGATTTTGAAACTACAGTAATATAGCTTATACATCAGAATAACACATAGGCTATAATGATAAATGTAAAGTAGGTGTAACTGTAGACAAAGTTGCACGGGTCAGCTAGTATGATAAGAATGAATAGATATAAAAATTTACAATAAGAACTAGACATCTGATATAATTACTTAATTTTTTTGTAAACACATACATATTATAGACATATATGTGTATTTTACATTTTTGTTGTTATATTTGTATTGGTGATTTTCAAACTAAATATTAAATAGTCAGCATATGTCGTCGTGACGGGGTGACGGGGTGCCACGACGCTGGTTTTCAGCGGACACCTTCATATACAATAAACATAATAAAATAATAATAATAATACACATACATACATAAATCCAGACGGACAACACAAAGCAAACATTTACGACATACTACCATATATAATCATATTTATCTTATCATCCTCCACTGGTGCCTTGCCTTTATCCCATTATTTGTGGTCGGCGCAGTATGTCATTCTCTTCCACTGCTCTCTATCGGTCGTCATATCTGAACATACTCTTCTTTTATTCATATTGTTACGGAAGGAAGGATAGACTGTATTAAGGCTGGTTAAAAATGAGACACGTTCTTAGGTGAGGTAAAATAGCTGTAATCAGCTCGCTAGCAAAAATATAAAGACAATATGGCATAAGAAAACAAACGGTATATAAAAACAGAACGTCAAAATATAAAATTCAAATATACATAAAAAACATAAAAACTATCAAAAAGGTTGCCATCGGCAACACATATCATCTTTCACACAATCCATCCATCTTTTCTTAGGGCGTCCCTTCCCTTTACATCCGTCCACATTCATCCATTCCATTGTAATACATAAAAAAAAAACACTACCTTATTCATATGTTCGCAGGCATGAATTAATGTGTATAAATATGTAAAAATTGTGATTACTCCGCCTTGCGAATCAGTGGTGGGTACAAAAAAAAAATTTATTTAATTTTTTTTTTTTGTTTCAAATAAAGTTTATTCAATTCAATAAAGATTATTTCTATTTCTATTCACAGGCAAGGCAAAGATCGAGCGAGCCGGCGATCACGTGACGGTGGTATGTGCTGGTCGTACTACAGAAACTGCGTTGCAAGCCGCCAACGAACTCGCTGGTAAAGGTATGTATTTTGGTATTTTTTATACATCGTAATATTATTTATATAACAATATTGACCCATACAGTATATAACTTAATGACTAATAGCCGAAGAGCCCCCGACGGCCAGACTTACGTCTTGAGGCAGATGCAAACAATTACACTCATGAATACAAAAGTTTACGCCGTGCGAGAAATCGAATCCACGACTATCGGGAGTAAAGCGGTGTGCTAAACCGCTAGACACAGCGGCAATATCTCCCCCGTCGATCACAACTCGTTATAGAGCAAGAGCCCACGACGGCCAGACTTACGTCTTATTAGTAAATGTGAAAGTTGTTGTATGTGTGTCCCCAACACAGGTGAGAACGATCCCCAAACATGAATCCTGGATCGTGGTACCTTTGGCAGGTAACAGGTAACAAAGGTGTAAAAAATTTCATATCAAATTCGTTATTTTAAGAAACTCCATTTTTTCACATATTGCTCGTAACAGTATTATAACTTGCTCTGCTCGTTGCCAGACACTTAGTGTGGTTCCAACCCCCCGCCAGACCCCCCTAAACTATACTATTTTATAAATAAACTTATGTTATTTTAATAAAGCTGAAATTTATATATATTATTGAGAGAACTATTAAACTGAGTTTCCTAAATTGCCAGATAATATTCTTGGTTCTTCATCCTACGAGACTCATTGAAACCGTATATTACGTATGTATTACGTATTAGGCGCAACCTGTATAGCGGAAGTCCTCAAAAGAATTGTCAGATGATAATAGTTATATATTATTAACTATTACAAGATCAGTGAGTAGAGTAGATTTGACATATCAGACGAATTATATGAATGATACATATATCGAAATTAATCTATACATATAAATAAAATTAAGTGTCTGTTTGTAATATTGAAATAACTGTTTCTTATTACATGCCCATGAATATAAATACGGTACATACACCTATATAACATTTTTTACAATTTTTGTTTGTCTGGCTGTCTGTCCGTTTGTTCCGGCTAATCTCTGAAAAGGCTGGACCGATTTTGACGAGACTTTTTTTGGTATGGAGCTGATGTAATAAGGAGTAACTTAAACTACTTTTAATTTAGAAAAATGAAGTAAATTCCACGCGGACGAAGTCGTTGAAACAGCTAGTAAAGTAATATAATAATTATTAATATCTTTATTGACCATTAAAAAAAATGTGCTAACAAAACGCGGTCCTATTGTTCAAAGCAACCTCTTATAAACAAACTAGGAGGTCGATGAGTTGATTTTAAACTTTCGTGTTTAATATACATTATTTAAATTATTAACCGGGTCTTAACACGAATAATTTTATGGCAAATAAATGTATTTAAGGCAACCTAGTCGAAACGTCGAGAGAGGTAAATACCTTTATTTACCATAAAATTATTTGTTAAGACCCGGTTAATAATTTAAATAATCGATGAGTTGAGTTAAGGAAACGGCCGCTATAATTTCATATAAATACTAAAGTTATATACATAAATAATATGTGTAAATAAATATATGTATAAAAAAAGGAAGTTTTTATTCTAATGAGACAGCTTTCCGAATGAGCGGTAGATTAAAAAAATGTAATGACTATTCAAAAGTGCTTCAATGTAAGTTTATTTGAATAAATGATTTTCTATTCTATTCTATTCTAATAGAAATTGGCAAGGAGTTCCAAAGACAAATAGCCTGAACAGTGAAGGATTGAGATAAGAAGTTGGTAAAATGAGCCAGGGTTACAGAGACGTCTCGTACTGTGCAGCTCTCGGTCTTAAGTCTTCTAAACATTATTGTTACTTACGAAGAAAAAAATGTTTGCAGGCATCGAGTGTGAAGTCATCAACCTACGGTCCCTAAGGCCACTGGATTTCGACACCATTGCGGAATCCGTCAGGAAGACCCACCACCTCATCACCGTCGAGCAGGGCTGGCCCAATTGCGGTGAGATTTAGTTCCATAAGACCAACGTGTTTACATGATCATTATTGACTGCTTCGGTGCATATCTCTTTATTTCCGATGGTTGCGAGTTCGATTCTTCGCACGGTACAAACATTTATATAAGTATGATTGTTTGTATCGATCCAGGTGTTTTATGTATGTATTTACAAAAAATATTTAAGTATTTATATCAGTTGTCCAGTACCCATAACAAGCTGTACCTAGCTGGTACTAGATGGCGCTGTTTGTTCTGAGACATTATAGGTTGACACGAGCAATTGTAAGAATCTATTGTTATTATTAATTATAAAAAACATTAATATTAATCTTTATTTACAAATATATCAGTACAAAATTATACATTTAGCACTGGCTTTTGAAATTATCTATGCTACGAAACCCAGTTCCTTCCAACATACTAAACCTACCATAGACAACATACCGCTAGGTTTTCATGTGTTAAATTGAGAATGGAATAGGAAATCCTTTGTTCAATCTGCCAGAAAAAAGATTTAAATGTCAAATAAAACAGTTCCTTTGCAAAAAGCTTACTATAAAATTGAAGAATTCGTTAACCATAATAATGTTTTCATAGAAAAACTTTAAATCCATAGCACTGATAATATTATCTGATTACACTAATAATGAGTGCGTAGCGATTTCTATGTTGATTATCGCATGCCTCTTACTTGTTATACTGTAAATATTTATATAAAAAAACATCTATTAAAAAGAGCAACACACAAGTTTCTTGCTCATTCTTCTTGTGATGTATCTGCATTCCGAATGAGTGGTAGAATCAAAGTATGACTATTCAAAAGTGCTTGTAATGAGTTTATTTGAATAAAGATTATTTCTATTTCTATTTCAAATAAACTTAATTTAAGCACTTTTGAATAGTCATTTTTTTTTAATCTACCGCACAATCGGAAAGCTATATCATCACAAGAAGAATGAGTAAGAAACTTGCGTGTTGTTCAAAATTCAAATTCAAAATATGTTTATTCATGTAGGTCTATTATAGACTCTTATGATATGTTAAATCTACCATCAGTTCGGAATGATTTCGAGATGAGAACTGACAAGAAACTCAGCTCATATTCTTTTCAAATAAATGTTGTACATGATTCTTTTAAATAATCAAAAACAACAATAAACATAACTACCCTACTCACAAAACGCGTTTATTAGTTTATTAGTTATTATCAGTTAGAAGTCATTTAACTCTAAAATATACAGCTGTGTAATGGTATTGTACAGTAACTATATCTGATAATACAGTATATGTTGATAAGAAAACGTCGAACCAAAAGATAAATCAGTGTAAACAGTAAAAAAATCTGAGTTATCACTAGTTACTGATAAGGTATTTGATGCATTTTTAGGGTTAAACGATGGAACCAAAAAGGTAAACAGGAACTCTTATGTCACTTTGTCCGTACGTCTGTCTGTCACACACCTATATTTCAGAATCTTATATATAAAATTCTCGTGTCACAGTTTTCGTTCCCATACTCCTCCGAAACGGCTTGATCGATTCTCATGAAATTTTGTGAGCGTATTGAGTAGGTCTGAGAATCGGCCAACATCTATTTTTCATCCCCCTAAATGTTAGGGGTAGTCCAACCCTAATTTTTTTTATTTTTAGGCAAAACAACTTTTGCCGGGGCAGCTAGTATTTATATATACATATATACTTGAGTATAAAATAGTTTCAGATGTTTAGGTTTAGGTTTATAACATTGATAAAATTGATAATCAATTCCAGAAAATATTTATATATTTATTGATAAAAGTTTGAAATATTGAAAAATGCGTATGATGGAATATGTAAATGAGACAGAAAGATGGTGTGAACGAGAGCGAATGATGCGATACGAGAGTTAGGTAAGGTGCGAGAGAAACGAAGAAAATTGAGACATAAGTACGAAGAAAGTAGATTTTTCAAAAAAGGTTTTTTAAAGTGTGAAGTATAATAAGGAGTGAAAACATTATTAGTTATTTAATCCAGTTTTCTATATGTGTATGTATTTAATATATTAAATTTTCGACATTTCAAAATAATCTTGTTAGATTCATTGGGGCATCGTGTAAATGTATAATATATATGAATTTATATCAGTCGTGTAGTACTCATTATATTATATTAAATTATACTCATTATATTATTATATTAAATACTGAAGTCGAAGTCAGTCCTAATTTTTTTTGTACTTGATATCATGCAAAAGCCAGATGTTTTAATTTTAGATCCTATCTCTTGTAGGACCTGTTTAAATTGTTTATACGGGACCCAGTGTGAGCAAGTACGACTTTCGCTTACTGGTTGTTATTTTTATCGTATTTAGTCTGCCACTAATTGTAGCTGCAATGACGGGATACAAGTGTAAGAAACCTTTTTTTTAACCTTTTTTACTTAATTAGTATAAACTATTGAAGAAAGTGTAGTGAGAATATTTCGAATATTTCATTGCTCGACTAAGAGTGTAATGTGAGGGTGCGTAATTAGGTGGTGGTGGTGAGTGTAATTAGAGGTGGGCGTCTTGTTTCTCATGGCTCGGTCGAGAGTGAATGTAACATGAGGTGTGTATTAGAGGTGGGTGCCTCGTCTCTTATGGCTCGACTAAGAGTGTAATAAAATAATAATAATCTCAGGACAATTCACACAGAGCCATCTAGACCCAAGTTAAGCTAGCTAGAGTTTGTGTTATGGGTACTAGATAACTGATACAAATACATAGATATTTTTTTTTCGTAAATACACATTACATTATACATATAAAACACGCAGACCGATACAAACAATCATGATCATGAATATAAATGTTTGTGCCGTGCGAGGAATCGAACCCGCGACCATCGGTCGTAAAGCGGTATACTTGACCGCTAGACCATCAAGGTCGTCGAAATGTGAGGTCTGTATAGGAGTGGGTTCCTCGTCTGTCATGGCTCGACTAAGAGTATAATGTGTGGTACTGTACTAGGGATGGGTGTCTCTCCTTTCATGGCTGGACTAAGAGTCTTCTTTTCCTTTTTTTTCTTCTCTGGTACACGTATGTATGGCTGACCACTAGGTCAGTAGGTAGTGATCAAATTATCTTATAACATTTTCTAGATCTGCCGGAAGAAATCTCTTTTTAGAGACAAGCTTGCCCTTGTTACTTTTACCTTATTACTGTTATTTCGTTTCGTATGCGTGTGTACAATAAAGAATAGAGTAGAATGATGTGCGGTACCGTCCCAGGGGTGGGGCAAAGGGGATTGTTAGTAATGTAGATTGATTATCTTATTGCTAGCAATGTACTATGTCAGGTTGACCTCCACGCGGTTCCTCCTGGAAACTATCGTGTTAAATTCTTGGTGAATTTGTCACGATGGGCTAATTGACGTGACCTCATGCTCATCCTATCGTCCTCTACTGGTGTCCATCGCCGGCGTAAACCGTTAGCATAGGCGGGGCCACCATTTCATTATTATTATACATATTAGTCATGCTCACTAAAATGTCCAGACATGTGGCAGCGTGGTGGGCCGGGTCATTGGGCTCCCTAAAATATGGTCGAGCGTAGTGATGGCTGGCTCATCCGTCATACTCGTGAACGAGTGCTGCTTGTAGGGACTGGTCTGCTCTTATCACTACGACTGATTTAATCTTATTGCATATTTATATTTGACCCAAAAAATTAGTGCTTGTTGGTAGTTTGTATTCACACGTTTCGACTTATGTAAACTTACATAAGAAGTTTCTTGCTCGTTCTTCTTGTGATGAGACAGCATTCCGAATGTGCGGTAGATTAAAAAAAAATGTAATGACTATTCAAAAGTGCTTCAATGTAAGTTTAATTGAATAAATGATTTTCTATTCTATTCATTATTGACAGCCTCGGTGGTCTAGTGGTTTAGCACACCGCTTTACTATCCGATGGTCGTGGGTTCGATTCCTCGCACGGTACAAACATTTGTATTCATGAGTATGTCTGTTTGTATCGGTCTGGGTGTTTTCTATGTATAATAAGTATTTATTTAAAAAAAAAATGTATCCATGTATTTATATCAGTTGTCTAGTACCCATAACACAAGCTCTGCTTAGCTTGGGACTAGATGGCGCTGTGTGAATGGTCCTGAAATATTATTATTATTATTATTAACAAAAAAGTACCGTGCCAGGCGTGGGCGCGGAGATCTGCGCGCGCGTGATGGAGTCCGCGTCGTTCTTCGAGCTGGACGCGCCGGCGTGGCGCGTGACGGGCGCCGACGTGCCCATGCCCTACGCCGCCGCGCTCGAGGCGCGCGCCCTGCCCGCGCCCCACCACGTGGTCGCGGCCGCAGCGGCAGTGCTCGGCAACAGGTACGAAAGCTTAGTATAAAACTGAACAATTTATAAATGATAATAATGTTCTTGCAGGAATTATCATCATCATCTGCTTCTTCCTTATCCCATTTATTTGGGGTCGGCGTAATATGTTTTTTTCTTCCATTCATCTCTGTTCACAGTCATTCCGTTACTTACTCCCTTTCTCACCATATCATCTTTCACACAGTCCATCCATCTCTTTTTCGGTCTTCCTCTACCCTTATAACCATCCACATTTATATGTAACACCGTCCTTAGGATATTATCTTCATTCCTACGCATTACATGCCCATACCACGATAGACGATTACTCTTTAACCTCTCTGACATCGGTGCCACTTTCATACTTCCTCTGATGTATTCATTCTTTATCTTGTCTATCCTCGTCACACCACACATCCATCTCAACAGGAAGAATTATCTAACTTAAAATTCATAGCGCTGACTATGTTATCTGATTGAACGGAGATTAAGTGCGTAGCGGTTTCTATGTTGATTGTCGCATGCCTAATCCTTGTTGTTAATTAAATATAAGTAATTCAATATTTATTTAAAACAGCAACACATAAGTTTCTTGCTTATTCTTCTTGTGATGAATCTGCAATTCAAATTAAACGGTAAGAAAAAAACTTGACTATTCAAAAGTGCTTATATTAAGTTTATTTGAATAAAGATTATTTCTATTTCTATTTACCTAGTAGTTTTTAAACACTCTTTCCCGAGTCCTAATCGAAGACCCCCTCATCCATGATGTGTATGGTTGTGATATTTATTGACACTGTCCGTGACCTGGGATGTGAACGGTGCAATAGCTGCAGTGACCAAGCACTTCTTACCCAGTGTTTTATAGGAGATATCCCCCGAAGACCCCTCCCACTCATTACAAGGTACGTTTTGTCTACCCCTTCCCTCTCCTTTCAACTGCCTCATCTCCCCCTCCACTCTCCTCTCGATGGGTTCGAGAGGAGAGTGGTGGAGGGTAAAGGAGGGGGATCCATCCCCTCTCGACATTCCCACCTCACTTCGCTTTTAATGTGTGACGTAATTTAAGGAAATTCTTTAGTTAGAATAGCTAACCAAATAGCTGTCTACGTCATGGAAAGTTATCAAATAAACTTCGTGGACACTCTCTATCGCTCCTACTTTAGCGACCACGTAGAGTACCTACTTTGTTATCTGTGTTTTAATTAAAAGGTAAGGTATGGCAGTAAAGTGTATGTGGCTACGGAGAGTTGATACAGAGGTACCACGTGAATGACGACGTGTAGTCCATTCAAACTATACTAATGCTCTTAGGTGCAGCTGGCCTTTACAGCTTCACCGAACGATAGGAGGCGAGTGCAGATGACACTCCAAACCCGCGGAAGGACTTATGGAGCGGCTGAAGGCCAACTCCCGCCTGTGATACGATTTTAGTCTGAAGGCTTGGAGTTCGAACGACGGCTGAAGTCGTTAAAATTTTAATCCCCATTTGAATTGGATGGAGGATCGATCGGAAGAGATATGATTATTGCCATTGTTTTTTATAAACGACCCCACCTTTTCTTAATTGAAGACACTCCTAGACATTACAAATGTTTGAGTAGTGCGTAATTAAAATACAGAGATACATACTTCATTGTGATCCTTTTAAATGACGTCCCTGTACTTGACAACAGGCGACGGATGAAAGACGACTGCATGCGACTGAAATGAGAATGTTGAGGTGGATGTGTGGTGTGACAAGAATGGATAAGATAAAGAATGAATACATTAGAGGAAGTATGAAAGTGGCACCGGTGTCAGAGAGGTTGAAGAGTAATCGTCTATCATGGTATGGACATGTAATGCGTAGGAACGAGGATAATATTTTAAGAAAGATGTTACATATGAATGTGGATGGTTATAAGGGCAGAGGAAGGCCAAAAAAGAGATGGATGGACTGTGTGAAAGATGATATGGTAAGAAAGGAAGTAAATAACGCGATGACTGCGAACAGGGATGAATGGAAGCGAAAAATATATTACGCCGACCCCAAATAAATGGGATAAGGAAGAAGCAGATGATGATGATGATGTACTTGACAACAGGTACCACTTGTTAAAGTGTTAACTAAAATCAATTTACAATGATTATAAAGTTTTATAAATATCTACATTAATGAAAATATATCAATTTATACTAAATACAATTTCTACAAATAAACTATATATAGTTATTTCACAACACTTATTGCAAAAGTCAAACATACAATATAGATCATATTAGATACTCATTTACATTGATATTTAAAATAACAGTTCATCGCTTTTAGTTCGAAGTGAACTCGATTAAAACGTTTAGTTAAATTACCGAATGTAACACAGTGAACACAGTGAATGAAAAACTAAACTTCGTTTTGGTAAATTCCATTTAAAGTAAATCGATATCAACGTCGATCTTTTTTTCGAGTTTACACTGAACTCAGTTTACTTGAACTTGTTTATTTCCCCATAGAAACTAATCGCATTTACTTCGAACTAAACTTGATTAAAAGTTTTAAACGAGTTCGAAGCTTCATTTTGCATTTCACTACTTACAATTTGAACTAGTATTCGCTAAACTCGTTTACAAATTCTGAACGCCCGATTTCCTACGGTTAACTCTTTAAACGTGTTTCAAGTAGCTGTCACTTGTCAAATAGTCATCAATATTTTTTTTGATAATATAGTATTGGGATAAAAAAAATTGCCTGTAGTATAAAAAAATCCTTAATAAAATAATGTTTTACCTTATTTATAGGTAAAAGTTGTTGTTATATATTTTGTAGTCGACGGTACTTATTAAATAAAAACTAAAAAACTTATCTGAATTATCACATGATTGAATTACAAATATTTCTTATAATTATTTTAATTAAATGACTCATTGCATCAAATATTATTTTATGAGCGTGTTACACTGTGACCGAATGAAAATCTAAACTTCGTTTTGGTAAACGCGATCTATATAATAGTGAATGCCATTTAAAGTAAAACGAGATCAACGTCGATCTTTTTTCGAGTTTACGCTGAACTCAGTTTACTTGAACTTGTTTATACTACAATTGGTGAAATCGAGCCTAAATTACTATAATCTTCATTACATAGTATAAAACAAAGTCGCTGTCGCTGTCTGTCCCTATGTATGCTTAAAACTTTAAAACTACGCAACGGATTTTGAAGCGATTTCTTTTAATAGATAGAGTGATTCAAGAGGATGGTTTATATGTATAATACATGTACAACCGTGTGAAGCCGGGGTGGGTGGCTAGTATATTTATAAATGTTACTTTATTCTTGTCTTCAATTACGGAAACGTGTCTTAAAATTCGTGATAATACTAAGCCACTTATCATATTCGGTAGTTACTATCACATAAGCAGTCAGCAGATGTTAGATTAAATCGTAGACTAACACGTATATTTAATGCAAGTTGAGTTCTATTTCAATTGTAATAGAATACATTTTTGTTCGCTCGCAATTTTCTAATGTTGAAAATAGAAATAGAAATAATTCATAGAAATGCCGTTAGATGGCGATGAGAAGAAATTAGATGTCGATATAATTTCATTTCGGCAGTTCTTTAATAGGCTAGTTTGAATAATGGCGTCCAGTCTAACAGACTGACTGAACATAGGCTATATCATCACTATTTTTTTAATTGTCTCTCTCGTGTATATATTACGCGTTAGGAGACTTTATAGCGTATTGATGACCACGGTGGTATAGTGGTTGTGGATACTGATTTATTTCCGAAGGTCTCCGGTTCGATTCCTGAAACGATAATTTATCGTGTGTATATTACGCGTTAAGAGACTTTATAGCGTATTGATGACCTCGGTGGTATAGTGGTTGTGGATACTGATTTATTTCCGAAGGTCTCAGGTTCGATTCCTGAAACGATAATTTATCATGTGTATGTTACGCGTTAAGAGACTTTATAGCGTATTGATGACCTCGGTGGTATAGTGGTTGTGGATACTGATTTATTTCCGAAGGTCTCAGGTTCGATTCCTAACGATACTTTGTATCCATGAGTATGATTTATCGGTTTGAATAATGGCATATTCGTCGAGTCTAACAGATTCGCTGAACGTAGGCTATATCATCACTATTTTTTTTATTGTCTCTCTTGTGTATACGCGTTAGGAGACTTTATAACGTATTGATAACCTCGGTGGTGTAGTGGTTGTGGATACTGATTTATTTTCGAAGGTCTCAGGTTCGATTTCTGAAACGTTAATTTATCGTGTGTATATTAAGCGTTAAGAGACTAGTGTATTGACGACCTCAGTGGTATAGTGGTTGTGGATACCGATTTATTTCCGAAGCTCGCGGGTTTGATTCTTCACACGATATTTTGTATTTATTAGTATGATGATTGTTTATATCGGTTTGTATATTATGTATGTATTTACAAAAAAAATGTATCTAACCATTGATATTGCTCTAGCCGTGGTCAGCTCATGACCACATCTAGTACCTTTATTTGCCATAAATGTACTCGTGTTAAGACGCAGTTAACAATACTATAATCTTATATATAAAATTCTCGTGTCACAGTTTTCGTTCCCATACTCCTCCGAAACGGCTTGACCGATTCTCATGAAATTTTGTGAGCGTATTGAGTAGGTCTGAGAATCGGCTAACATCTATTTTTCATCCCCCTAAATGTTAGGGGTAGTCCATCCCTAAATTTTTTTTTATTTTATGGCAAAACAACATTTGCCGGTACAGCTAGTAATATATAAATACAAAATTCTTGTGTCACAATGTTAGTTACCAAACACCTCTGAAAAGGCTTTACCGATTTTTATGAAATTTATATCCATATTCAGTAGGTCTGAGAATCGGCTACTATCTATTTTTCATATCCCTAAGTGATAAGAGTCGTTCACCCCTAACGACTTTTTTTTATTTTTTTGACATTTTTTTTTATAATGTAGCATTACAGTACAGTACTAGTATAATATATAAATACTAGGGGAAAGGCGAAAGTTGGTCTAGTGTCCCCATTGCTAACAATGTACCATGTTAGGTCGACCTCCACGCGGTTCCCCCTGGAAACCATCGTGGTTCATTCCGAGTTATTTAATCACGTTGGGCAAACTAACCTGACCTCACACTCATCTTATCACCCTCCACTGATGCCCAGCGTAAACCGTTAGCGCATGCGGGTGCACCATTCCATTATCATCCATAAAAAAAAATGTAATATATATAACTCAAAGGTGACTGACGTAGTGATCTATCATTGCACAGCCCAAACCACTGGACGGATCGGGCTGAAATTTGGCATGCAGGTAGATGTTATGACGTAGGCATCCGCTAAGAAAGGATTTTGATTAATTCTAACCCCAAGGGGATGAATTTTTGTATGAAACTTTGTCAATTTTAAACCAATCCGGCTGAGACTTTGCATGCATCAAGTTACTATGACGTAGGCATCCCCTAAGAAAGGATCTTAATAAATTCCACCCCTAAGGGGATAAATTAAAGCGAGCGAAGCCGCGAGCAAAAGCTAGTGTAATATATAAATACTAAATTATAAATATTTATCTTTCAGAATCAGTGAGGCGGTGAACTAGCAACTCAACAGCATCTCTAGTGGTGCACCCAAGTGAAAGAGATTGTACATAATTCCACTATATTTATTTGTTGTTATTTCTCTGAGGACTTGTTATTATCATGTGATATTTATATAAGAATATGCGTGAGACTTGATTTATACATTATGTTAAAATAAATTTGTTAGTAATTTTTTAACATACTTTTATTGTAATTAATCATTACATAGTAGAATACATTAACATTTTTTTTTAATCTACCGAATAGTCATAACATTTTCTTTCGGAATGCTGTCTCATCACAAGAAGAACAAGCAAGAAACTACAAGAAAGTACTGCAAGAAACTAGTATAATACAAAGTCGATGTCGCTGTCTGTCCTTATGTATGCTTAAATCTTTACAACTACACAACGGATTTTGAAGCGTTTTTTAATGGATAGAGTGATTCAAGAGGAAGGTTTAATATATAATACATGTACACCCGTGCAAAGCCGGGGCGAGTAGATAGTTACATAGTATAAAACAAAATCACTGTCGCTGTCTGTCCGTATGTATGCTTAAATCTTTACAACTACACAACGGATTTTGAAGCAGTTTTTTTAATGGATAGAGTGATTCAAGAGGAAGGTTTATATATATAATACATGTACACCCGTGCGAAGCCGGGGCGAGTAGCTAGTAATAATAATAATATAACAATCAAAACTGGCAATTGCAGTATTAAACCAACAATTGACAAAACGCCTGCTGAACCTAATTAGGGAAAACATCAAAATAATGATAAGGACTATAGGTGCTACAGACAGTACCCTTAGTCGGGGCTGCTTTGAAGCCGAAGAAACGGCTGCTCACGTAATCCTGGAGTGCATAGTGACCACACAACGAACACAAATCCTCGGAACGGTGAGGTCGCTCCGTGAAGCCTGTGAAGATACCAGGATACTTCTGCTCTTTTGGGGAGCTTGGGAGCTTGGTTGGCTTACTTTAGGCCTGCTCACGTAATCCTGGAGTGCATAGTGACCACACAACGAACACAAATCCTCGGAACGGTGAGGTCGCTCCGTGAAGCCTGTGAAGGTACCAGAAGACTTCTGCTCTTTTGGGGAGCTTGGGAGCTTGGTTGGCTTACTTTAGGCCTGCTCACGTAATCCTGGAGTGCATAGTGACCACACAACGAGGCACAAAGGGAACGGGAGGCTCGTCCCGCTTCCCTCCGCCGCAGAAGAGCCAGGCCTAGAGGTGGGAGCGTATCCAACTCCGCCCCCCTCTATTGGGGCCGGGGGAGCCTTGAGGGAGGCAGTCCCCCAATCCAAAGGCCGGAGGTGTGCGTGTGTACCCACACGCCTCCACAATGGAGTAGGGCGTAATAGGTCGCCCTAACCACAAAACGAGATGGGGCCTGCCCTACAACATCTACAGGGCGGGCCGTCGCCGTCGGAGCTGGGGTAGAATGCACTTGCGAATCCCCTGGCTCCGGCATAGGCGCTCGTAGGTACACCGTGTGGTTTTTAGTGAGGACCTCGCCATCCCTCCGGCGAGGTGACGGTCTTTTGAAGATTTTCCACACGTTAAAAAAAAAAAAAAACGGCCTGCTCACGTAATCCTGGAGTGCATAGTGCCTACACAACGAACACAAATCCTCGGAACGGTGAGGTCGCTCCGTGAAGCCTGTCAGAACACCAGGTGACTGCGCTTTAGGGAAAAGCTTGCCTCGCTACTTTAGTAGTCTCGGCTCTATACAACGGCCCATATGAGAGGCCGATTGTGGAATATAGAATCCAAATTACATTAGATTACATTACAATAATAATATATCTTCTTGCTATGCTCTCTCACACTCCTCTGTGGCCTTAAATTGGTTCCAGTCTTACATTCGAAATCGTCAGCAGGCCGTTCGCATCGACCAGACTATATCTGATTGGTGTGAACTGCCGGCTGGTGTTCCTCAAGGCGGTATTCTATCTCCTTTGCTTTTTTCTATTTTCATTAATTTCATCACTAATAACCTCGACTGCTCTTACCATCTCTATGCCGATGACTTGCAGCTCTACTGCCAGGCTGAGGTCGAAAAAATCTCTGAAGCCGTAAATATGATGAATGAATCACTCTGACTACATTTTCGACTGGTCGGTCCGGTTCGGGGTCAATGTCAATCCCAGCAAATGCCAAGCGATTATACTGGGTGGCTCGAGAAAACTTGGCAAAAAAACATGAGTACGGTTCCTCCAGTGCTATTTAATGGAATGGCTATATCATATTCTCCGCATGTTAAAGATTTGGTGTAACAATTGACTCTCTCAGCTGGACCAATCACGTTGATGAGGTGAGCCGTAAAGTTACCTACACATTGCGTAATTTATACCGTTTTAAAAATTTCCTACCTAGCAGTACTAAAACCTTACTAATTCAATCCCTCGTGCTCCCCATTATTGATTATGCTGATGTGTGCTGCTCTGACATGAATGAGGACCTCTTAAATAAATTGGATCGTCTTCTTAATAATGCTATTCGTTTAATTTTCGGTCTTCGCAAGTACGACCATATCTCTCTTTATCGTTCTAAACTTAAATGGCTTCGATCCGCCAACGCAGAATTGTTCGCCTCTTGTGTACATTGTATTCAGTCCTATACGATCCAAACACTCCTGAGTATCTTAAGACCAAATTTCTTTTTCATGGGGACATCTCTCACCGTAATCTTCGTCCGTCTAGGAATCTACTCTTGCACGTTCCTGCTCATCGTACGAGCTTCGTCTCTAAATCTTTCATGCTTCAGGCTATTAAACACTGGGAATGCTTTGCCCCTTGACATTAAATCGAGTACTACCAAATTTACCTTCAAATCAAGTTAAGAAAACATCTTTCCAACGACTTTTGTAATTAAATGAATACATTAATATAGTGTTAATTTATCTCCCGCTTTCACTCTTGATTTGTCATGATTGATTATATCTCATTGTTGATTTGTATTTGGTATATATGTATAAATTTTATATGTATTTTATTATGTACTTGAATGTATATGTATATATATATATATATATATATATAATATGTTTATATTTATATATTCTTATTTAAGTATGTATGTAGTTGGATATATATATTTCAATTTATGAATTTTATTATAATTGTACCTTTCTCCTTTTATTATTTATTTCATGTTATTATTTACTTAAATGCACCGCCCACTAATCTCTGTTTGCCCTATGGTCGACTGGGAGAAAATGCCTTATGGTGTTAAGTCCGCCATATGCACCTTTATTTTGTTTTATATTTGTGCATGAAGTTTTTATAAATAAAATAAATAAATAAATATCTTATAGATATAGCTGTACCTAACACACACAACATACAATCTACCATTTCAGATAAAGTCTCAAAATATCAGGATCTTGCAATAGAGGTAAGAACACAATGGCGAGCTGATACTGTACACACTGTACCTATTGTACTTTCTTCTACGGGTATTGTACCCAAAACACTTCAAAATAGTCTGCAAACATTAAACATTCATCCATCCAAAACATATCTCCTACAGAAAGCCACAAAATAAAATACCTGTCGCATCACCCGAAAATTCTAAACCTCCTCAACAACATCTTCACCCAGCACAACCTCTCCCACACTTGGCTAAGGCCCGTGTAGGTGGCATTACTTCAATAAATCCATAAAAGAAGAGAAAAAAAAAGGAAAAAAAAGAATATAACTCTTAACTATACACAGAAAAATGAAACAAAAAAAAACTTAATACATATAAATATTACTAAACAAAAAACGTCTTTATCGCTCAATGCAATCTCTTACAGACAATTGGGGAGATCGAAGCTTTGAGTAAAGGAAAAGTAGATGGCTCACTATGAATATCTATGACGCCCTCGGTGGTCTAGCGGTTTAGCACGCCGCTTTACATCCGATGGTCGCGGGTTCGTTACCTCGCATGGTACAAATTTGTATTTGTGAGTATCATTGTTTGTATGGGTCTGAATGTTTTCTATGTACGTATGTATGTATTTACCAAATAGATGTATATAAGTATATCTATCAGTTGTCTAGTACCCATAACACAAGATCTGTTTGCCTTGGGACTAGATGGCGCTGTGTTAATTGTCCAGGGTAATTATTATAATCAGTGCATACACATATTAACAAGAGCGACACCTGATCCCCTTAAGCATATTTTTTTTGTGCTTTAGTTAAAACAAGTTAAGTTTTGTCAACCAGTAGCACTTAAGGAAGGAAACAAATATATTAATAAGTAATAGGTAGATATTAATAAATATTTTTATTTATTTATTTTATTTTATAATTTTTTATTGTACCGATATTAAAAGTATATACATAAAAAAAAATATAAACATTAAAGAAAGAAGAAGGTACAGAAGGCGTTTTATCGCTAACACAGTCTCTTACAACCTTAGGAAAGAGAGTTATACTAAAAATAAAATAGGCGGGACGTGAGTGGAAATAACCCAAGTTAACCTAGCTAAAGCTTGTGTTATGAGTACTAGATAACTGATACAAATACATAGATATTTTTTTTTCTAAATATATATATATATATATATATATATATATATATATATATATATATATATATATAATAATCTCAGGACAATTCACACAGCGCCATCTAGACCCAAGTTAAGCTAGTTAAAGCTTGTGTTATGAGACAACTGATACAAATACATAGATAGATCACTGATACAAATACATAGATATTTTTTTTTCTAAATACATACATATTATACATAGAAAACACCCAGACCGACACAAACAATCATACTCATGAATACAAATGTTTGTGCCGTGCTAGGAATCGAACCCGCGATCATCGGAAGTAAGACAGTCAAAAATAAGAATAATAAATATACACTTATGTAAATAAATTGAAATTAAGTGTACAGATGTACACCGGAATAGGTTTAAAAAGTAATCTACACTAAAATAAACTATAATGAACTAAACAATGAATATAACAAAGAATTATTAATTTAGAATAGTCTTGTCTAAGGCAAGTGAATGCCAGAACTGACTACTTACAACAGCAGCCAAGTAACGTTAGAATAGAATAGAATAGAAAATCATTTATTCAAATAAACTTACGTAGAAGCACTTTTGAATAGTCATCACATTTTTTTTCAATTCACTGCTCATTCGGAAAGCTGTTTTCATCACAA